GTTTGATCTCCTGGCTCTCAGCGTCAGTGAGATGGCCTCTCATCATTTGATTGGGCATTTGACAGGTTTGATACTTTCTGGGAACGTGTTATGGTCTTTACGTCTGATGAATTCAATGAGGGCCAGCTCGGTTATGCAAAGTAATTCGTGTGAGGCAAATAACCAATCCATCATTAAAAGATGCAAGACTTAGAATCGCAGTTCAGATTCCGCATTGGAAGCGAGCTGTTCTTAACTTGTCTATTAACTGTTCCCATATTTCCTGTAAGAGCTATTAAAAAAGGCAGGGGAGGAATGGATTGTGATTAGTTTCGTAGCATTGGCTTACATCAAGTTATTCTTTTCCCAAGGTTACGGTGGACTCGAAAGGTAATATTATTTTGAAAGAGAAAATGTGCTGTGCGTATCTTTCTCCTCGTGCTGTCATTTGTTTCTGTTTTATTTCTGTTTAGAATAAATAATAAGCACCAGCCACAGATTCTGAACAGCCTGCTAATGACTGAAAATGAAAATACAGTATGATTTGCTCCCTCCTTCCACCGAGAAGCAGCAAGGTGGCAAGCATTAATATCCCTGTGCTTTGGCCTGTACCAAATCCATTTCCCCCTCTTCAAAGCGAGGTGGAAGAAGTGCACTTAGTCTCTCACAGTTTTACTGTTCACCTGCATTTCACTTTCTGAGGAGGTGATAATGACTCCTGGTATAGAAAATCTCCTGTACCATGGCTCCTGGGATTTAATATACACTGCACAATAAAAAGTATTCACCTTGACAATGGTCGGAACAAATATTTCTCCCCCAGGTTATTTAAAATAGTCACTTTAATAATTTTTTTTTTAAGCTGCTGGATATTCTTTGACAATAAAATAGATACAACAAAACTGAAGAGACAGCTAGTGACCATCCTCAAAGGAATTCTACGCATGGTTGTTCTGTGTAGTGCAAGTAACCCAGCTGAGTGCACTGGGTGAGAAGAGTAACCTGCACGCAGGATTGGGCCCACAAGCCTGCCTGGTACCAGATGCTGCTTTTACCTATCAGTGCGCATCGTGTATTTTCAGGATTAGTGAAATAACGAGTGAAAACCATTATTTTTTCCTTCTTTTGCAAATGTACACTTGACAAAAATCATCGGTTGCATCTTTTCCCACGCAGGACGAGAACATAATAATTATGAGAATAGTAGGGCATATTTCATACTTCAGCCTGTGCACAGCTGAATGTGACTCAGGGAGTTTTGAAGGCAAAGAAGCAGCAGTATTACGTGGCTACGGTTCACTTAATTTAAAAGAAATCACTGCACAGAAGTGCTTATTTGGATCAAGTTTTGATATTTTAAAGATTTCAGGAAGGCCTGTAGTAAATATTTTAATCACAGACATTAAATATATTTTAGCTGGTCTTAGGAAAAAAGAAATCAAAATAAAATGTCAAACTTTTTTTTGGTGTGCTGTTGGGAAGGTGTGTTTTCTCTAAATTTTATTTTTAATAAAATAAAATTGTGCTTTCTAGGTAGTGGATTCTCCTAGAATCTAGGAGTGATTCCTTTGCTACTTTAGGTTTCCAATAATGAACTGTAGGCTACTCAAGGCTGAGACACTTGCAAAAAAAACTGTACATGTGTAATTCTAAGCAGGGGACCAGCTCAACTGTTCTACTTTCCTGTGTAAAATTACAGCCAGTTTGTGTGGGATCAAGGTCTTTGTTAATCTATTTTTGGCTATACCCAAGGCTCTTCTCATTTAGGTATTAGTAAAAATGTTGCTAAGTAGACTTTCATTTTGCAGTGTTCTCTATTTCTGCATATTCTTTATATTATTGCTTAAATTTGGCTTTGCAGCAATCACTTGGAGTTAAGGCTCCGTTGCAGCCTCCCTGAGATGACCTCCCTGCCCTGTAGGAGGAGACCACTAAATCTAATAAGTGGTGTGGGATCAAAAGAGTTTCAAGGTCCAACCTGACAGCAGGTATAATGGCAAAGCCTCTGATCTTTTTGTCTGGTCCCCTGGTACAGGAAAATAGGTAGGACCTGATCCAGATCAACAGGGGGGCTTTCTGTTAGAGTCAGCTGGAAAGGTTACGATGCTAGCTCAGGTTGTGATCTTTGTAAGATTATTACCAGTTATCTCTCTAAAATGCTGCTGAAAAAAAGCTGTTTTTAAAAGTACCTTTTATGCAAGGATTTCAAAATATGTTGCAAAAACATTTACCCATCTCACTGGTGGGTAAACTGAGGAACTTGGCGACCGAACCTCAAGTTTTTCAGGAATATCTGGTAAAAGCTCCCCAGGGCACATGTTTTGTAAGGACTGTTTGCTTATAGGATACCAGTTGAGCCACGGGGATGCTGTTGTGGGTGCTTGGAGACCTCCCCTCGACTTGTGAAATGGCAGGACCACTGCTGCTCACAAAGTGGAGTTTTGTTTGTGGCTTGGCTTTCTATTTTAATCATCCCCTTGTGGGGAAAATATGAGTGTAGTGAAGTGTCTTGCTTTGGTAGGATGGGATTTTTTTCTTTGTTTGCTCCACACACACACTTACAGTGTTGATGGTACTTTGTGTTTATCTTAAAGACAGCATGATGGAAGGAATGTGTGTTGCCTACATCAGTTCGCACACCCGTATAAACATTTTCAGGAGGAAAGCCTGTATTTGTGTTTCTATGTTTTGAGATACTCAACTTGTAGACTATTAATGAGACATTTTCACAGGTGGGAACAGCTGTCTGTGCTGCTCATTTTAACTTCAGTGGTACGTTATCCAAATTTTGAAAGTCAGGTAGCATATATAAGATTTAGATAACCAGAAATGAAAGCACTCTGCATTGCAATCCTGGGAGTAATTTGTGAGAAGGGCTGATGTTCTGCTCATCCCTATGTGTATGCTGCTCTCAGTAGACCCTGTTGGTCTTCCACCAGTGAATGGTGGGCTAGTGTTACTTGTTTCCTTGGTGTGTGTTCAGTTCATATAGGACAGATGTGCTTAGAGAATGTTACCTGCCTATCATAGCGCTGCCGAAGAGAGATTGTGTGCACATTTTATGCAAACGTGTAATTTTCAGCAGTTTCCTTAAAAAGTACATTTTAAGAGATGGTTCATTTGCGATCATGAAGACTCTGGGTAGAAATGAAGCCTGCTTGCCAAAATGCTGCCAAATCAAGGATCTGACTGCCAAATAGCCAGAAAATTTATAAAACAGATAAATACGAAAAGAGGTTTAAAGTGTCAAATCCAAGATAACCCCTGCAGCAAAGCAGGATAAAAGCCTTTATTGTTGCTAATCTACAAGCACATCGGATGTCAAAGGTCGTGTATTTTACATAAAAGATGTATTGTTTTACATACTCGCAGGAAGGTGAGACCTGACCTATTATGATGGACTAGAGTTATGTCCTTTAAAGTGCAGAATCAGGAATCTCTTCTACATGTACCGCAGCAAAGTACGTAGGGCTTCACAGCAAACACGTATGAATTGTAGCGCTTGATCTTCCAGTACCATGTTACTGTGGTACCATAGAACTGTGAAAAGCTTCTCACTCATATATTTCTCAAAACATGAAATATAAAATACAAATAAAATGCCAGTGAGCAACAGATAAAACCCATATTCATTTCATTTCAAGATAACCTTTTTTTTTTCCTGACTAAAAATAATTGGGTTTCAATGGTAAAGAAGTAATGCCTCATTCTCATGGTGAAAACATTTTTCCTTCCAAAAGAAATGGCAAATGAGTACATTTTCTTTTGAAAGTATTTAATGAAGATTCTGATTTTTTTCCCAGAGGTTGGTATTTTACTACCTCAGTAAAAAGCTTCCCCTACTGATGTAAATAGCATAACTTACCATTTGATGAGTTTCACAAACACCCCCAGTACTCCACATCACTGTGTGAATTTTAAGAAATGGAGTTTCACGTAGCTCTGTCTTACACATCCACATGTCACTGACTTTCCGTTTCATGTGATGTCATCTGTATCACCAAATCATTGCATAGTTTTCTGTCTGTATTACATGTTATTCTGCACCCCTGCAGCAGCAGATCAACATTTTGTGGAATTATGTTATAATTTTACTCTATTAAGGTATTTGGTCAATTGATGTGGAATTAATTCTGAATGCTGTTAGTGGTTTGAGTTAGTAACTTGATCTAAATTAATAAACAAATGTTTTTCTTTTCTCTTGTACCATATGTTGATCCCAATTACATGAACAGAAAGTGGCAGATTGTCATGTTTCTTAAAAGATTACATACTCTTTTGCATAAGAGAGAGTACACAAGATGCAGTAATATACAGGGTAAAAAAAAAAACCCCACACGTGCTGTTTTCTCCCTCCTACTTTTTATAAAGATACACTTTAATTATTTCTCTTTTTAATACCCACTGCTCTTACCACCTTGGCATACTTGGTGTGCTCTTGGTAATGCTTAACAAGAAGATATCCCAAGGCAGTAAACAACTTTTTGAATTAGGAAGATGCAGCGAGTTTTAAAACCTCATTTAGGACTGTGTCTCTATGGAAAAGGAGGAGAAAAAAGAAAGGATCCAGAAGCTAAAATAGCAGTGGTTACAAATGGTCTTAAAACGCCTTAAGTAAGAAGAGCCCATACAGACAATAGTCAGATTTCTGAAACAAAGGACTGAACTCATCTATTATTCAGTCTGAAAATAGATTGATAGACATCAAGATTAAGAAAGTTTATGCTAGAGAACAAAGATGTCTCATTTCCATGGGGTTTTTTTCTTCTCTTTTTTTTCTCCCAAAGACCAAGTTGTTCGTGCTGAAGAGCCTCACACTGGCTGGTACTGATAAGCAGCAGTCCTGTGACTTGATTGTTTTTATTAACTCTCTCTGAAAGTCATTCACCATTAAACACGATTAGATTCATTTGTTGCTTTATTTATGTTTGGACTTGCAAATGTGGTGCCAATGAAAATGCTTTGAGTGTTGTTGCTGACACTGACCCAGCAGTCACGTGTGTTACCTTCTTTCTCTGCAGGGTAAGAAGAGTGACCTTTTTGGGTGGCTGTAACTGAAGATTGCTTCACAAGAGCAACAGAAGAAGGTAAATACAAATACCATTTTGCACACAGTTTCTGAAGCATGTCTGAAGGAAGGATTTGATCCTGCAAACCCCAGGAGTGTGCTTTAGTAACGCAATTAAAGGCTTTTCAGGCAATATTGATAAAGGTTGCAGTGCTGGGCTCGGAGCTAAGCCTTTGGAGCCACCACTGTGCCTTAGACCTGTGTTTTGCCTGGGAAGCCAGTGGTTCAGGTATCCAGTTGCATTTTGATAGTCAGGCCGCAAAGATGCACTTTCTGGCTCTCATATGTGTTCCAAGAAGGTCGTTTGGTAACCAGACAGAGCCCACCTGTGAATGGGAAGACCCTACTCTGGCTGGTCTTGGTGGCCGCATGGCCAAGTCCATGGCCCAATATCGCGGGTGCTGGACTGGGGGCTCTCAACCCTGCAGCAAGGTCCCCTTACCAGGGAAAATCCCTGGGGAATGGTCAAGTCAGCCTAAGCACTGCTTTGTCCCAGGCTGATACACTCCTGGATTTACAGCAGGAGAGCAGAATTTAGCTGTTAATTTCATTGCTTATAATCACTGCAGAAATTAAAACACATGCTTTTTAGTCTTTGGAGCTCAGCAAAAAGGAAATAAATATCACTTGCTGCAAAATGGTTTTTATTTAAAACGATGTGCAACTCCGTTGCTTCTGAATTAACTCCTTGCCTCTCCTCTGGTCCAAAGTTTCCAGTTGCAAAGGAATATTAACATCACAAAAGTGGTGATTCACAAAATTAACTTGCAGAAGAGAAGAGTAAAGGCAGATCAGTGTTTGGTACTGAAGGGTGTCATCTGACTGAGGTTCATATGGCTGCTTTATAATCACCTTCTTTCAGAAATTAATAGTCGGTTAAGCACCATAGCAACAAGCAACACTGATGTAAGCGCTGAGCAGTGGCTGCTGTTCGCTGTGATGTCAGTGCTCGTTAGTGCTGTTCTCTTGACCTTGTTTGAATATAAAATGGTGATTTCATTTTAAACTTAGAATTTTACAGAATGACTAAATGCATTGGAGTGTATTAGAGCTATTTTTATTTTTAATTTTATTAAAATGTACTTGAAGGGGAAAAAAAATGTCCCTGTTCTCTCCTGTTTTAAATTAAAATAGATCTGAGGATGATGTGGGTTTTTTTTCAGGTCTTTGTTGCCAAAAATACCTATTTAGTGAGGATGAAATTCATGAAGTTCAAGTGAATATTGCAGTCCTTGGCCATGTCAATGGTGCATGTCAGCTGTATGATATATGCCTCTCTTCCTTCAAGATTTGACTATTACTGCTTGGGTTTTTTTTTCATGGTGGAACCCATAAGGTATTAGATTCATTTCAGCTATTGAAGGAGAAGCAGATCTTGCAGTTTAAGAAGATGGTTGTTCCTTGCTCCTTTCAGTGATGTTTTCTCTGAGTTTTTGTGACGAATAGAAAAATTTTAAGTCTTAGGTGCATCAGAGGGCCTTAGAATTAATGGGAATCGTGTGGAGCCATGGTTCATGTGTGACCATGCTTTGTGAACCAGGAAAATCTGGAATTTTGGTTGTGATGACTGCAAAACCACTACCTTTAGACTTGCCTGAAGTTTACAGGTCATGTCTCCAAAAGCAAATATATTTTGTATTGCTACCATCAGGACACCACGCATGCCAGACATGGCCTCTGCTGTGCATCTTTCAGGAGTAAGCAGTTTGAGTGCTTCATAGTATAATGTCACTGGAAAAGACCATTAGATTTTTCAGTCCGACCTCCTGAGTATCACAGGTTATAGAGTCTCACCCTACACCCTTGGGCAGAGCTGGTAAGTAGGGTTTAGGTGTCTCCTAGAAGCTGACCTAGGCTCAGTGGGAAGACCCTGAGGACTGGAGAACCATGGGGTCCGCTACAGTGGATGCAGTCAGGATGCGTGTTCAAGCACATATTCAAACTGCTCAACAAAATTCACAACTTGATGAAAAATAAGTTGTTCAATGTGTCCTGTAATCTTAGGATGTCCTTCTCCGGGAAGGTTTGGCCCTGTCCTGCTTCCACTGCAGTGAGGGGTGCCATTTTCAATGAAAACCCATTTGCTGCAGAATGGGCCTGTAATCTTGCAACATGTTTCATAAAATAAAGCCATAATGAGTGATATGTGGTCCAAGAAACTGGATGTCGAATTTCAGCTGGGTGAGAATTGAAACTGCTGAGATAATAAACCATGAGAATAGGAGATAGTAATGGAAGTAGTGATAGAGTCCTAATTAGAGCAGTGCCACTGAAACAGGGAAGGTTAAGGGTTTGGTTGATTGAGTTTGAGCTCAATTGCTTGATAGCTTAATTCCAGGTGAAATCCCATCTTCTGAGTTAGCGGTTAAGCCGCTCGGTAGAGTTACAGAGCAGGACTCTGTACTCCTTGAGGAGCAGCCACGTGGCCCTGGGCGTCCCAGCACTGCTTGCGAGCCTGGCCTCGGGCATGTGGAGTGGGATACAGCACAGAGCTGCTACAATAGATTTCTACTCTGCGTGGTTTGTTTGCTTTCTTTTTTTCTGTGAGCTCTAAAGAGCTCTGAACGAAGGTGCAAAGAACAGAATAGATACAGCAAGGGGCTTTGATGGTTAAACCTTCAGAATTAAGATGTTTACATTCTCCTTTATTTAGCACTGTTAGGCGTAATGCCTAATTATATGCCAGTTTTTCCTCAAAGTAAGAATTTGAAATGTTTGATTTGGGGAGAAGGGAGGGGAAATGTTTTTTACAGAATTATAGACAATAGGCGTTAGTTTTCTAGGAGCAGTCATTTGTTTAAATGTATGTAAAAGCATTTTCAATAATCAAACAGCATTCAGTGAGCACTGTAAATCAGGGATAGCTTGCATGCTGAAAAATTGAAAAGTACAAAACATGCTACTAAAGTTGTACATTATTGATAACAAAAGACACATGCAGACTTTTAAGATAGTAAAGATAGAATCCTTTAGAAAACCTTTAACGGGGAAAAAAATCAACACAAAGGATTTAACAAAGTTGCACTTAGTTTAAAATTTCAAATCTTAATGCTTGTCAGAGTTAAATACTGATTAAATATTGATAATACAACAGAAGGTGCCTGCTGTAACTCAGAACCAGATGAGATGATCAACAGATAAATCTGTGTGTTTGGGCATTAACTTTCTTATATATGTATATTTTCTCCTCCTTTCCCTTCAAGCCAGGAGAAAGGTCAGAAGGACTTTTTTTTCCTAAGGTCAATACAAAAGATGGATTGTGCAGTTTGTCTATGTGGAAAAGTGGTTATGGGACAAAAAAAACCCTCACTTTTTCCCCACTAGTCCTACCACTTTGTTTCACTGGGAGTAGATACGGCTCTCAAACCAGGTTGGCATGTCACTGTGCCATATCTTCGTTGGCCAAAGCAGTAGGTGCTCCAGGCAGAAGTTGAAGCCCCGACACAAACTTTTTGGGAGCAGTTTCTGTTTATGATTGTCTCAGCAGTGTGTGCAGCTTCTCCCCAGCGCTCTCCCTTGCTAGTCGCTTTCCAGAAGATGTGCTGCTAGCACCCTTATTCCTGTTTCCTCTACCAGCTGGGGGGTAGTGATGGTTGCACATCAAGCAGTGGGCAGTCAGTAGGGTGATGTTTTCCTTACTCAGTTTGGCATTTCGACTTTTCTTGCTTTTGAGCTAATGGGCTTAAAGTGTATTACAGAGCAGAAGCAGCCATCATTCTTAGAAGATGCAGTGTGCAGCTGCTCCTGCGTCTTGGGTACATTCATAAGAAAGTCTGTATTGGCACATACAACTTGGTTCTTGGATATGTTCTCCAATGTTTTCTCTGCAACAGGCCCAAACTACATAAAGCTGTACTGAAAGTGTTTATCATGATTGCTTGTGTCACCCCCAGCAGGAAATGGGGATGTGGGAGACCCCAGATGATGCCTGCTGCTCACTTGCTGGTGGCGTGGTGGTCACATAGCTGGAGCCATTAGTGTCCGTTAGGCCACATCGAAGACTTGGATGTATTTACTGTCAGAATGTTGGGAGAGGTTGTAATATCCCACTTGTTAAGACCTTTGAGTTACTCAGGCTGATGGGTGGGCTGCCGAGTGTTTCTGTAACATCTACTAAGTGAAATTACAGTATTACCTGCATGTTTTGGGGTAAACTCGAAAAAGGTGGTGTGGGCCTTTGGAAACAAGAAGTGCTTGAAGACCTTACCTCCTTGGATGAAAAGTTTAGTCCAGAGATGAATGAAACTGTGACTTTTCTGAAGCGATTGGGTCGAGCAGATGTAGAAAATAGATTAAGACATTTTGGAATAATTTAGAAAGTATCTGAGCACATCTCATTAACATGGACCACTAGCATTCTGCATTAAAGACTTCAAAGATCTGTCAGAGGAGTTCTTTCTGTGCTATTGTCTGCCAGCATTAGCGATCTCAAGAGAACATGTTTCTTTTGTTTGCTTTTGGCCGTTCAGCTTTTCTTCTTTTTTTTTTGTCTTAATGTTCCTTAATATATTGTAAGTCTTCAAGTGGGTTGGTAGAAAGATATGTTTCTCAGCTTTAAGATAGTCAGTAGCAGGCTTTGATCCTCTTATCTGATGCTTTTGGACCAAATATTTCTGGTTTTCATGAAGATTAGCTAAAGTGAGCAAGATTTGGCCAGTATTCTGTGTAATACCACAGTGTTTCTTCCATTAGCTTGGGTAGATGCTCACTAAAATCTTCTTCTGATTTGTGTTACTTAATGTGGTCAAAGTGCCATCATCCGTTTCAAATGTGTGAAGAAAATGAAGCACGAGTCTTGAGTGGTTCAAGCACACATCTAGATTTGGAAACCACCAGCCAAATCTGTACCCACAGATCGAAACTATTGTATACAGTGAAAATGGCCAAATATTGAGAGATTGTAACTGCAGATAAAGCAGCCATAAAGGGTGCACTGATGTTTGTCAGTTACTCAAAAGTGCTGTGATGTCTATTAAACTAAGCTGTCATCAGAGGAGGCCCAACCTTTCTAATCTGATCAG